GGGACTTGAATTTGCCCCCCCCACTTAAATTTGCCCCCCCCCCCCCATTAGCTGCGTTCCCAAATTTTAAACTCGATGCCTCCTCTAGTGTTATTTATAATCTCTATGCTTTAATCGATATGACGTCACAGACTCCCATCAGTGGATGTGGCCTTGCATAATACATTCGCCGTTAACCTTGCTTAAATGTATTTAACACATCAAGATAGCTGATGTAATAATACATTGTCAATTTATCTCTGCTGAATCAGTAAAGACTGATTTGCATACAGCATACAGCACACAGAAGACAAGATAAATCCAGACTATTTCACATCAGTGACCATTATTTAGTCGCAATTACAACCAAATGAATACCATGCTTATTAAGCAAATTCCTTCAAATTTAATTGCAACCCCCCTCATTTTCTTGAAAAAATTTAATAGCCCCCCCTTCTAGTCATTTATTTATACATATGCCCCCTCATCCCTTCCATAAATAATGACCGGTCCCTGAGGTCACGTTAATTCTCAAAGTACAGCTATGGAAGAAATGGTACCATTCTCAAGGCTATTCTAAATTGCTGCACCGTATAAAAATGGCTCCATAGGTGCCTCTGTGGGAGAATGCTCAGGGCCCGGTCTCCATTCAATTTAGTATATTACAGACACTCAGTAGTTTGAAGCTCAAAAAAGAAGAGAACAAGAAGATAAGAGAGAAAAAGAAGAGAACTTTGAACATTATCCACACATTAAAACCTTCGACAACATTGTACTTGTAAAGTTCTCGCTATCTCGTGGTAGTATATAATTTTCGTATCACTTACACCGGTACCATCGTTTGTTTTACGTACGATCGTGTAACGAAACCATTATCGAACACAAAAGCGACCTTTATTTCTCATCGGGTGGAAAATAATGCCTGCAATGTTTAATTAAGGCGATGCATGTTACACGGAATGATTTTCAACTATGATTCGTAATGCAATGATGAAGTTGCACGAAACTGATTTGATTGGTTCAGCAATTACATGTCAGTATTGTAAAACAAAGGAGAGGGGGTCGATCGCGGCTATAATCATCCATTCAATATTTTCTGAAATTTCCGTTGAAAATTTGTCCTTGACAAGTGTAATAAATCAATGACAATTTATTTTCAGCTGTGGTTTCTGGAATCAAACCTTCATCTCAAGTTCCATATGCTGACAATATTAAAGGTAAGTCTAGACATGCGTACCGTAAATAAAATAGTAAACCCCGTATCTATAATAGACAAGCAATGCAATGTCAAGCAATAAATTTTGTGATAAGCCGTCCTCTCTATTAAGTGCTTCGTATCTAATAGAAACCCTTTTCCTAAGAAGGCTTTCATTAAATTTAATTAAAAATTTATTACAGCATATAGGCGCTTACTACGCTTGTTAAATCATAATAGATCTAAACTTGGAGCGTAAATGTAATGGAATGTACAGGCTGTGTAAGTAGAATAGAATTCGAAAGCAAAGTTGAAAAGAGCTGCGGGTATGCGGGTACCAGCTGTGAGGAAGGTTTACCATATGAGAGGTCAGTGAGGAAGGTTTAATGTGGAACACTCTACTGAACACTAACACCATAAAACAAATAAATGATACTTGACTATATAGGCAAGTTGAAGTTGGCAGGATGCTGATATTGCGTTGGTAACTATTGTGATAGCATCGATACCAGATGACTATCACATTAGAGAATACGGAGGTGAAAACAATAAAAAGTGGAAAATATTCAGAATAAGAAGCTGATTTTGAATGGCATAGTTAATTTTATATGCTTTGCAATTTGCGGAAAAGCCATAATTTACATTATTTTGAGAAAGTTTTCAAAACTTGAATTTTTACCCAGAGGAAGGTTGCAAACTTTTTGCAACTCTTTTCGAAAGTTTCGTCAATTAGTAAAGAAGAATAAAACTGCCATATGTAGGAATAAATGTCCCTCTCTACTAGACGCCCTTATCTAATTAACGCTCCTTCTACGAAAATTCGATAAACGCTCTCAAGGCGTTTTCACGTCATTTACCGTACCTCACCTACACCTCGCTTTCGTAATACACCTTTTCGATAATTACGTCATGAATACGTTCTTGGCTGGGAGTCTCGCTCTCATTGAATCAAGACGGAAGGTGATTGGCTCACGATTCATGAAAATGAGGCTCCCGGGCCAAGAACGTATTCGTGACGTAATTATCGAATGAGGTGTATATAGAAATTCCATGTCTGGTGTCTTATTGGCTTGTAAAACTCATTCATTACAACCATACAAATCAAACATACAACCTCTCGCTTTCAGTTTGATTTGTACATCTGAATATCTGATACAATACGGCCGCTCGTGCTGTATATATTACGCATTCCTCGCAAAATAATTAAAATTTTCTTTCAAAAGCCGAGGTGCCTTCAATGCTGTAAAAGTTACATTTTTATTTTTTGACCTATATAGTTATGCAGTAACACAGCTTCACAGTGGCACAGTTACAGTTTCACAGTCACACAGTTAGTTAACTATATTTTAACGTGAAACTCGACGAAGGGAGTAACGCAAACGTTGGTCAGAAAAGTAATGTGTTATCGCGTTCCATTTTGTATATAGCTATAGTTACACTACGTTACACGCAGTTACCTCTTTTCAAAACGTAACTAGTTACCGTTACAGTTACATAATTTATTTAAAATGTAGCGATTGTTTATAATTTTGTTACTTGTAACGAAGTTACTTACAGCACTGGCTGCCTTTCCTAATCATTAATTGGCTGATCAATAATTGGTTATAGTATAACATCGAGTTCTAATTCAATCCAATTAATTGCGTCATTTTATAATTTTTCATACAGTAAAATGGACACCGTTATCCCAGCCAATGAAACAAATTGACACTGGAATTACATCTTATGTTTGGGCGACAGATTCAAACAATGACGTCTATTATTTGAACGGAAGCAGATTTGAGCAAGTTCCAGGAAAGCTAATGCATGTCTCTTCTGGCGCGGCCGGTATATGGGGTGTGGATCCGCAAAACGAGATTTTCTTTCGTGAGGGAGTAGACCGAGATCACCCAATAGGGAGCGAATGGGAAAAAATTAAAGGGAAATTATTGAAAATAGATTCTGGACCTACGAATATCGTATGTGGAATAAGTTTGTCATTTAAGACATTCTGTAGAGAGGAAATAACTTATGCGAATCCCACCGGTACGAAATGGCAAAGAATTCCTGGACGAATGAAGTACATTTCATGCGGCGATTATGGTTGCTGGGCAGTAAATAAATACAATAGTGTGTTTTTCACCTCCCAAGTAAAAAACTGGTCAACCAAGTGGATAAAGATAGGTTGTTATCATATGGTTCAAATCGAGGCTGGTCCAAATGGTCAGGTTTGGGGACTGAATGCTAAAAATGAGCTGTTTGCCAGGATTGGCGTAGATCAGAGATTCCCATCCGGATTTTTATGGAAGAAAATTGAAGCCAAAAATCTCGTATCAGTTTCGATTGGTAAAATGGGTAAAATGTATGGTGTTGATGCCGGGAATACAGTTCATGTTGGATCAATAGTACAGGAAAAATCACCAGGTTTGTTGATTTTTCAGATATACAGTATAAATTTGAACAAGCTAAATGAGCAAGCACAACTCATAATATATTTAATGGTAATTGTACCTTCATGTACAAACAGGGTAGAAATGTGCTATTTTTTCAACAAGCGCTGTGGAGCTATTTGGTGGTAACAGGGAATTCGCATGAATAAGTGACTACTATACAATTGCGTTACAAAACCGTCTAAAACTGCAATACTTTTTTCATTGCAATGTCATATTCCTGAACTCAACTTATGCTCAGTAGCTACTTGATAAAGCCCCCCACAAATTTTAATAAGGCTTTTGGTAGTATGGTTGTCTCTATAATTTCCACAGTATTTTCTGCACATAATATAATTGTACTGTTACAAATAAAACCCCAAATTTATCTAATTCTAATATATTTATAACATTTTATATAGGTTCTCATGTCAACAAGCTTGGGTCAGGTAACCACTTATTGCTCTTCATCTAACGGCCGAAATTTGCTGTCAGTTGTTTGGAAGTGCCAGCTGTCTAGAGGTTTAGTTGCCAGTAGCCTAGTTGAATATAAGAGCGTGCAACATACGGTAATAGCCATTCCGGGTGTTTAGTGCTAGCTGTTCGATTATATATCTTTTTAAACTGAACCTATGGAAGCACGAGATAAATGCTAATAGTTTTTAATGCACGAAATACAATGCTGTCGGCAGCAAGTTGTTATTGGGGGGTTGGGGTTCAACCAAGGAAGGTCTGGTACACTCCCCCTCGAAACATGAAAACGCTGAAAAGCGTTTTCCGTGCTTCCTGACTCCTTAAAAGTTTTTGCATTTAAAAATTGAAGATTTTGTGCTGCGCAATCTTATTCGCCATTTTGAAAAACATTCGCTCTGTACTGTACACAATTACAAACATGTATGAATTGGTTTTACTCCTACTGATAATGTGGAGTTATAGCCTCCCCCCCATACTTTCGACGTCCCTGTTTACTACTCGTGTACAGTATATATGTATATTCATAATGGTGTTATTTAATGCTGTTTATCGGCTTGAATAACTTGAATAATAAACATTTTAAATACATTACATAAGTAAAAATAATGTTGGACTGGATTGTGTATAAAGAACAGTGATATTTCTAAATCGCCGAAAAGACAATGGAATATTTCCATCACTGACTCGTCACTAAGTAACATTATTTATGAGAACAGTTTGTTATGTAAATAACTCGTATATATACGCGTGAAATTGGTCGTCAGTCGTGGTTTTCTGCCCATTGCTTATCAATTCCCCTGAGCCTTATCCCCCTAACATACAGACAAATGTTGTCCATACCGTAGTCTATAAGACCATTTATGATCAACACATTAATAATACCTCTGATAATATCATTTTAGGTCGTGTTTTGATGAACACCGCGATTAAACGATGTTTAGCACCAGATTCACTTCCTGCTACAGAAGGAACTGGAGTTATTCACACATCTACATGCAGTGATTCCTCAGCACTTTTTAGAGTTCTTGATAGTGGAGCTATTCAGCACGTTCAAAGTGGTTTATGTATTCATTTATCTGGTAACGGAGAGTGTCTTCAAGAAAGAGAGCTCGCCGTTCTTAAACAAGGTGGGGCTTAATTGTGTTTATAACCATGAATATATTATAGCTACCTGCCCAATATTGTTAGGAGCGCATAAAAAATTTCGTAAAACTAATGAGCTCATGAGCTCATGCGTGAGATCTGAAGGAAAGCCTGACACAAATTCAACTACTCCCTAGTAGATTAATTAATTTGCTAGATATATGGGTCAATAGGTTTAATCGTGCTATTTTAAACTCGTGTTAAAAACGCCGATGAACCGCGCTTAGCGCATGTCTGTGCTGCATGCTTCTATATTTTGCCAGATAATAATATAAAGACGCTCGATCTGTATGCAAATTGCCCATTGAAATAAAAGATGCATGCAGAGTTTTCATCTATTTTTTTTATCTGTCTATGTCCGTTCGCACTTTGACTTGAATGTCGATCAATTCGGATAATTATAAAATATATACAAATTAGTGCGAAAAAAGGAAGCAACTGCACATGACCAGAGCGATTCGCATATCAAATTTTTTCCCGTTTCGTGAAAAGTAATACTAATTAATATGCAAGTCAATGAATATAAACATAAATCGTTTAGACGTGCTATATCTACAATATTGTACGTAACTGTTATTATTTTTTAGACTTAACATGAAATGCTGCAGGGAACTTGAAAGCCTAGAAAGGCTTTTTGAACGTTCCTAGCCCACTTTTATTATGAAGTTTGCTTTTGTAAATAATCTATTAGTAATTAATTTTGAGGGGAAATTTAAAGGCCGTGAAACGATCTTCGATTTGTAACCAAGGTAATAAAAATCACATATCAGAAAATTGCTCGTGAAACAGAAATAATTAAATCATTATCAGTTTCGATATCGTACGGAGATTGTGCATAATGCAGTATGACATTCGAAAGCCTACATCATGATGCATTAAGAAAATAAGAAATACGAAGCTAGGAGATTTCCCAATGAACTAAATGACGGTAAATATATCGCAAAGTAATTGATTTGTTATGAAACAACGTTGTACTGTATTTGTCATTTTGAAAGTCGTTTTCAAAATCTTTTAATTAGATTGTTCCAATCCAAGATATTTTTTCAACTATACTGGAAAAGGTTTTCGGATTGGGCAGTATTGTCTTCGTCCCTGGAGCTTCAGAAGACCTGACAGCACTACATTAACCATCTACAGTTATGACAGTTGCAATATTCCTGAAACAACCTACGAATTTGTAGATATTGTCAAAGGTAGGTGGTAGCAGGCTAACATACATCACTTACCTAGTTGAATAGTGGAATATTCATCTTCCACTTGTATATCGCATTATACCACTAATACGCCATGAGCAAATAGGAAACCTAATAGTGTTTTGGAAACATTATTTCCTATCTGTCATTTTTTTCGAAGTAAACAAACCAGGAATTCAGGAAACATTGTTTCGGTAACAAAAGTAACGTTATTTTACAAGATTGTACAAGACTGATTGCTTTAAAATTTGTTGGCAGGCATCTAGCTTCAAGCTTTCAGGGCAGGTTTTGTTTTCGCAACAATGTTTCTGAAGGTCTTCCAGGGGGATGAGTGTTCTCGTGTTTCCTTTGTTTGCTTGTTCACCACAAAGATTGTACCATGTTCCCGTGTTCCCGGAGCTTACAAGTTCCCTTGTTCCCTATGACCATTTTTACTTTGTTTCCTTGGTTAAATATGCGGCATTGTTCTCTTGTTTCTGAAGAAACTCCTATAGGAGATCCTCGTTTCAGGACTAGCAAACGTAATATTATTTGCGAACACATCAAGATGTTCAAAATTATCTGCAACTCTTTGCCGGAGCGTTATCCGGGTTCGTTTTAACTACTTTGTTGAACAATCTTCAAGCAGCAAGAGTGCTAATGGGACTCTAAAGGCGGGTTTCAATTCGGTGCAAAATGTCGCACGAACGATTTTTTGCGATTGTTTTCTTTTGAAAGGCTTGAAATGTGTGCAGCCAACTGCAGCTAATGAAGCGATCGCAAAAAATCAATCGCGCAACATTTTGCACTGAATGGAAATCCGAATTAAGATCCATGCGAGGCACTCTCCTGTTTCAATTCTTAGATATAAAAAGATAATAATACACAAGTACATATACATGATGCCCCAATTTACGTAAATATACACCAACTGCTTATAATTAACCAGTTTGTTTACATCCAGTAAAACACCAAATTGCAGCGGATTAAAACTTATTTTTAATGTTATTTTTTTCTGTGATCTTTAAAGGGTGCGATTTGCAGTGCCTCAGATATATAAAAGATGGAAAAGAAAATACAAATTCATTCGCCGAATTCTTTAAAAGATCTGAAGCGGAAGTCAAAATATTAGCTTCTGAATGTTCAAAGTTCATTTCTACGTTGAAACAAGAAATACCTGAATTATATAAGGATTTGCTTTCCACCTTCTTCCCTGTTGATCCAAAAGTCGTTGAAAATCTCGAAATATTGGTGAATCATTTTGGAATGGAAAAAATGAAGGCTTATCCGTCATTATTTCTGGCTACTGCTTTCATTAGAAGAAATATGGGTGTGAATGCAAGTGAACCTGCTGTTTGTGGAGGTATTAACCAAATACCATTAAAGATTTACCCTTCTGCATGGAAAGTACGTCACCTTGGTTATAGAGCCTCGTTTCGGTATTTGTGTCCGTAGTTAAAGCCTAACTTCTCTGCCGTGAGAACGAGGTTCTATAGCCAAAGTGACTTGCAGTATTCCGTTGCTTTGCAGACAAGTATACAGTACATGCAATTATGCAAGCTTCTCTTGTTTAGTGGACTTTTTGTTTGTACTGCCAAGAATTACTCCCAAGTTGACAAATTCCCCCACACTACAAGTCATTATTACTAAAGTTTGTCATCTAGTATTGACGAGCTAGTGTTTCACATACTTCATGGTCAGTCTTAGGATAATGGAAAACCTATTTCTAAAGAACTTGCATGACGTTTTACAGGAAATGAGGCATGTCAAGGGAAACGTGTCACGTTTCGGCGTATGGAAAATTCATGTTTCTTTATACTGTCAGTATAATTATGCGCATTTCGATACAATTACAAATCTACAGCGATAGAAAGGAACGTTATCCCCTCACTCATGAAACTTTTATTGCGTGTCTAGTAAATATAGATTTCTTGATGAAGTGCAGTCCAGTATGGTATTTTCGTACGCGTTTATAATGAGGTTATAAAGCGAACCATAGGCCGCCCAGCAAATATACCTGGTATCCTTTGTTTTTCTGATTTGTTATCCAGCCGAAATATAGCGAATGATAAAATAACGAGTCTCGTACGTCATCACGTGCGTGTATCGTTTGGTTGGACGAAATGGTTTTTCTTCGGTATGAGAAAATTGTCAGTTTCGCTTTAATTTCCTGATTCCCTGGCTTATATGCATTGTGAAGTAAGACTCTGTATATCTATATATTTTTATAAAATTTTTAGCATAGATTAGTTTACCGCTTGATCCACTTAAGAGTGTTACCAACGGTATAGTAGATTTTGAGGATAGGCAACCCTATATTATATAACCTTCTTGGAGATCACGACAGGCACCCAATCTTTATCCTATTGAACACTCCTTCAGGAACCAAACACATGCACTTATAGTAAATATTATCATTATAGAGATTGAATTGAAAAATTATTTTTATCTTGCTCATGCTTTGAGAACGAGATTTTTTAAATGTCCTATTAATAGAGAAAACCTTGCATTATAGGTACTGGAATCCATATTGGAGGAGAGCCCGCAATTGACGAAGAAGATGCAGAATACAAGCTAAGTTTAAGTAAGAGTGAATTGGCTTCATTTTTAGACGACGAAGACTATCGAGCACAGCAAGCAATTGACAAGGAAAAAGAGGAAGACGAGAAATCTGTAAGTATTAGCGAGAAATTCTGCATTCAAAATGCCTAAAAGAAATAATTTTCATTAGAATATACTCGGGAGGTGGGTAATACTTTTCAAGCAATTTGATTGGTTGCTCAGCTCCAGACATACCTTACACTATTCACCTCCGAACAAAAACAAAATGGCTTCCCGTTTCGTTCCGGTTACAGACGAGCAAATTTTTTACATTTTCTGCAAATTTACAGACGAGCAAATTTTTGACGAGCAAATTTTGATTAAATTTTTAATGAATAAAATTACTAAAAGCTTGTAAACACTGTTTTGTTTACAACCTCGTTACACCTATTACGGGAGCTGAATAACAAATAGCTAATTCCAAAATATTTTCGTTGTTTTTTAGTCATTTTTGTTTTATAATTGTGGTATATGCTAAAACAATCATTCACCTCAGTGTTGGTGAATAGTGCATGCAAAGATATTCGCCTCTGGTGAATATCCTTGCACTATTCACCTCCACTTCGGTCAATAATTGTTAATTATTAGTTTATTTCTATCAGGAAGAGTCAAATAAAACATTTATAGCAAGATAAAAGCTGAAGGCAAAAAGAACAAACTATATAAAATGAAAGTAAACGTACGTTGTGAATACTTATCATGAGTTCCTCAGATCAAAATGTTTCAACTAAAAGAGCAGTCACAAGGTACGTTCGTGCTTCTGCACTGCTTTAAAAAGAACCGGTAACACAGGTCGTACAGCAAGAAAGGAATGGACTGGAAACGGCAGTGCAAAAACCTGTCGTCAGTCACAGCATTTGTGATTATGCCATGCACTCTATCAAATCTAATCCCGGAACGTAAGAGGAATTTGACGTTTTTCAATGAAAAAAGAGACGAATTTGAGCTGATAGCCGATGAGGCGCATAGCGCCAAATCGGCTATCGCTCATAGCCTCATATTCGATGAGAATGAGAGGAATAACTGTTATTATATACACATGGTCTGACTATTCACAGACTTTGCTTTATACGGACATTTTCAATATTTTTCTATTTTGTTTGTTTTTATATTCACTCTTTCGGCCGATTTTTGTTCCAAAATATACATTTTTAACCATTTTAAATTTTATAAATTCATTTCCTAACCTGTAAACAATTTGTGGGATTTTTTGTATTGTGTTTTTAATCCTGAAAAGGCTATAAAAAGCGAACAACGTGCCGTTTTCTCGTTCGCAAAACGTCGGAAATTCAGTTTGTGCCGCCATTTTCTCGACTAGAAGGATATGAGCTAATATCCTGCTAGTAGAGAACCAATCAGATTGTAGAATACCTCATACCCAGACATATAATAATAAGTGTATATAATAATAAGTTTTAGCTGTCTATTTTTAAAATTGTTTGGCAACAAAGCACGTTGAATTCTGTTGGTGGAAGAAACGCTAAACGTCTGTAGACTGTAGTGTTGTTGAAGATATGTCCACTCAAAATAACCGGCCATAACTCTCAATTCGTTATGTAATTGTTTTAATTTCGATAACAGATTTCGGAAACTATCGTCACATATGTATGTCGTTCATATTATACACTTGGAAAAATAGTTGGCGGATTGGGGCGACCTACTTAAAAGCCTGGCAGATTTTATCAACAATTGGTTAACTCGTCTTAAAAATCGCGCAAATGCTGAAAAAGAAGGCGAGCATTTTACCCCTCTTCGCTCCCCGCTCCCCCCTCCCTCAGCAACAAAGTTGCTACGACAGGATTATTAATTTATTGCTGCGCGGTTTTCTGTTTTGAAAACAATTTTAGTGTGATGCTTGGCCTTACGTGTAGGTAGGGAAGCCATTAAAATTCCCTTCGTTTCAGTACAAGTGAAGTATTTTTCAATTTTACAAAGAGATTTTGAATTTTATAGATCATAAAACAAATGTAGCAGCTCAAGATTTTATTAAGGATACAAATTAATTTTAATTTTTCAAATTCACAACATCTATAAATTATGGATGTAAAATGAATTAAATGAGAACAACAGAAAAATTAAATGCTTTAATTTTCATGTTTTTATATGAAGACTTAATTCGAATTCGCCTTGACGGATAAATACAACGATAACTAACTAGATAAAAATTTAAATAATATCATTTCAACCAACTCCTTTAGGGCATAAACACGAAAGATGAAGTAAGTGCAGTACAACAACTGATTGATCACTTGGAAGGAAAATACTACTATAAATTTTGGACTCCCGAAAGCTTGAAACCTGTAATGGATTTATGTGGGGTAGATGGTGAAAGTGAAATAAAATTTCCTCCCCGTGGTGATGGTATGTCTGGCATTGAATATTTAGAGTATTATTTCTCAAGAGATCCAGCATTACTTCCTGACGAAAATTTGAAATTTCCATGGCCACTTGCCCTTGCTTTAAATATCCAGACCTCCGTCCGACAGTGCAACTGGATTTGGCGTCGTCTGGAAAATGGGGAAAGGACAGTTCGTTATAGCAAGTACGTATTTAGCGCTGCTTATACCGCCTAGTGCATGTGCATTATATAAAATTCGATGGAAACTGAGTGGAAATGCTTGTGTGTATGACTGCGTAATATAAAATATAATGCAGAAAACCCTGCATCCAGAACAATGAAATAACCCTTATAAATTCCCCACACCACCCTAAATGGTTAAATTTCTGTGCAATATCTACCATGCAGCCAGCATAAAACATATTCTTCTGATACCTGTACCTTCTTTGCTTCATATTCGATCGTTCTCGTCATGCTTTTTTCCTTTTTTCTGCATACGTCAGTACAGCAGCACCGTTTTCAGCCTAGTTTTGTAAATTATGCGTTCAGCGTTTTTAAAATTTCCCAACATAATTTACCAATTTCTACTAACTTCATGACGTCTAGAATTGTCTCTAATATTTCAGGTATACCTTCGATTATGATAAAAACAATGTCAAATGCAAAGCAAGTGATTGGAACCCATGCTCAGTACCTCGTATTATTGAAGATGGTGGCGTTTGTGGAAGACAGTCAACTTTAGCTCGAGTTACAAACCATTGTCTTGGGATTGCCTCAGGCGGAATAAAACAACCTGGTCATGCAGCTGGATACAGTTACACCAAATCTAGCAGCAGTTACCAATTTCAAGTATTTCAGGGAATAACCAGTATAATGAATACCTATGCAGTATGGGACTTGGTTGATAACCAACATTTTCCTGAACCAAAATTGAATGCTGAATATCATAAAGGACTCGCTAATGCAATGAACCATGGGTATGAATCGTATCGTAATGGTCGTATCGCATTGTTGATATTCTCTCGTATTTACGATGCTGAACTACGTCAGAACTCGCGTCATCTGCTGGTCCAGGCCTTAGAAGGAAACCCACACATGATGGATATCTGGATGAAGTTAATCCATGACATCACCGGAAATAGTGCATTGCCTATTGAACGAGAGAACGTATTTACAAGAATTCCTGAAAAATGTCCCACAAACTTTCACAATTCTCTTAGAAACAGGCTTATAGTTATTATAAACAAACACTTAAACAAATATATGCAAATGTATGTTGAAGTTTTATTTCGTCTCATTTCACCACCGAGCTGTTGCTCCAAGGGCCAACCTAAGTATTTAAATATTCTCAGATCTGCTTTGAGCAATGAACAAAGGGAACTTGTAAAAGAATATCTATTCGATGGTTATGTTTCCTGCGCTTCGAAATCGGCGAGTATACGTGAAGTCGTCAAAACTATACAAGAAACAATTGTATCCAAGGCCGCACTGTTAGAACTAGATGTCTTATCGGAACTCCTTCACACCATCCAATCGATTGCGTCTAGAGAGGATGCAAAAGTTGAAGAAAATAAGAAAATCTTGATTGATTTCTTTACAGTCGTTTGTGACGTATTTTCAAGAATCCACGTGACTGCATCAGCTTGGGTCATTGGTGCCCACTACCGCGCGTGTGTGGAAATGCAATTAGAATTCCTGAATAACCACACTGAAGGATCATTGTTTCAAACCGTGTTTGTTGCATGGACCAAGCTTCAGGACAATTCTACTAAGCCGACAAGGACCTGGAACGAATACTATTTGAAAAACTGGCTGTATGGACGAACTGGAGATATCATTCCTCTACTGGTGGGAGTAAAAGAAAGTGTTGATGGAGGATTGATACGTGAAATAAAAGGTAAATCGTGTAATATGCTATATCTTCTGTCACTCTGATATCTTGATTAATAATTGTGATTAATTCAGTATTCTTGTATCGTCTTGTAAAAAAATGTGATAATATAGTTACAATAATTGGTCATCGAGTAATATTTTGTAAAAACACGAGCTTTTGAAAGACTGTTAAAATTGCAAGGATCCGAAGAACGAGTTCAAAATGAGTCTTGAAACTGCTTTTTGTTAAATTAAACAACATGACTGAACACAATCAACACATTAACAAGAAAACATTGTTTGCCTAAAATAATATTTCCAGAAACATGTAAAAATGAATTGCACCAAAACAAAATACATTTCAGGTTGGTACTATATTACAATAAAATTCCACTCGTTATGCCAATCAGAATTGAGAAACTTCATGCAATTGAATTGTAGCAAGCCAGTCGGTAAATAGTTTCAAAATTTATCACGCGTCTCCTTGATTGGGATTGGTAGTACATTGAAAACAAAATAGTATTGACTTATCATTGTGTAGGACAAAATCTGGAATACTTTATATTTTATTAAATTAATCACCTTCGCATACATAATACTATATACTGTTAGCCTATTACATACATTGTATATACAGTATAATAATAAAATGCCGGGAAAATATAAACCATTTTCAAATAAACGATTGTCGAGAAATGAATAAATTTGTCAACAAAATTTAAATCATCCGAAAACTTGACGTTTGTGTTTTATTATTTTAGTGAACATTGCGAAAAATAAGACAACTGCTCTATCTTCCACTTGGAAAGACGAGACAACTAGTGAACGCGCTGTAGATGGTAATACTGATAATTTGATTGCTGGTGAGTCATGCGCAGTTACAGGAAGACAAAATAATCCTTGGTTTCAACTGGACTTACAGAAATCTACAGAGGTGAATAAAAATAGTAATAATTCAGGATACGTTAATTACACGTTAATTGCCCGGTTTCAGGTTTACGTTGAGTGTTTTAGGGGCCCCGAGTGCTTTCAGGGGATCCTGGAGCCCCTATGACGTCATAATTTTAAAACCGCAGAAACCGCGTTTAGTAGTTTCTTCAAACGGAAATAAAGCTACTCAGAAAACAATTTTAATTGATAATTCTTTACGGCAAACCTTCCACTGATGTAGTTCAGATAAATTACGGATGCTCATAGCTTACTCTACAGGAGTTTGCGAGTCAATAGTTTTGTGTTTTATTTTTGTAATCGAAATTAACGTTCATGATTTGTGTACTGCTTATGGAATACTGGTTATAGTGTTGCACAACGTACGTGATATACAAATTATAGTAAGGAAACATTTAGAATATATCGTCCCAGATTTATAGCCCTGGATTTTTATCTAATGTATGCCCATTGGCCATTACATTTTAAATTGTATCATGATACCATTTGTTAATACATCATTGTAGATCTATGGGCTGTTGATAACCAATGCTGATGCTAATATAGCCAATGGATTTAGGAAATTTGAAATTCATATTGGCGACAACTTGGACGGACATGGTGTGACTAACCCAACGTATGTTGATAAATTAACTAAACTAAGCTCAATTAAATTTATTCAGTCTACTGCATGGAAAGTTATATCGATGTATTTGTTCGTCCTATAGTATAGTCCAGTGAAACCATCCCCTATTGCTATACACCTAGCGTAGCTCCATAATAAAAACTACAAAAGTAAACAAAATGGCATGAGCACAACTGCCATGTTTATAAACTAAGAGTTTCCAAGTTCGTGTGATAAAGAATGTAAAAGAAAAGGAAGATACAAAACAGGCAACAGGATATGCTGCTGAAATCATTTAAGAAAATTATTTGAATTTTAAACTGAGTTTTCACATGCTGAATATCGATCTTTTTTCGTCGCTAATAACAAAACACTTTAACTATATATAACAAAATTATACTATTCTTTCGTCGCCATATAACAAAACACTTCTGTTCTCTCGGGAAATAGTTTTGTCTTCCCTCGAATCTAATTGTGATTCAACCATTAAGAGCGATGAGGAGTCAAAAGTTAGTTTTATTTCTTGTTAATTGAATCGCTCAAAATGTAAAATATCAGATCTGTTTTAGACATCGAATTTCCGAGGAATGCGATTCGTTAAATTTGATAATTCTCAGTCAATGGTTTATTCCAGATACATGATAGGAGAGAATTTGATGAATGTTTGGTTTTCAATATTTGACGCAGCATACTAATTAACGTTCTCGAAGTAACAATGATTAGTTACAAGTAAATATATTTACACTTGCGCTAAAAAGTTTTCTTTTCTTCCAGTTGTGGTAATTTTCATTCTATACGTCGAGGTCAAACCAGAGCATTCTATTGTGATCCGCCATTGGTTGGACAGTACATTACAATTAACGTTTTTGCGACCAATCAAGTATTAGCAATATGTGAAATAGCAGTATATGACTCTGAGTTAACAAGTAAGTTACTTAAAAATGTGCCGTATAGACCTTATTCATAAATCGTGATCGAGGCCTCGTATCCTAGGATACGGAGCGAAATTCGGGAAAACAAGCGAACAATGCTTGAAAAGCCAAATTCAGATGGTATTTTGTGTTGACTTTAACGGCTTGTTTCTTGTTGCTTATTTCGATTTATAACGATTTTGTGTGTATTTTAAGATTTTGTGCCCACAACGAAAGCTGTAAACGAGAACAGGTGGGAAAATTGACTGAGCATGCGCGAAAACCGCTCGGGTTTTTAGCGGGAGAAGAAGTATGCGTGCTTCCACTTGGTTGATTTAAAAAACATAAACAACATGAACGAAGCCTTCGAAAGACAATTTTACAGCGGCTGTTTAGGCTCACAAATCACCACAAAAATTGGATTCACTGACAAAACATGTTGCAGTAATACTTTGATTTCCTATATTACCACCTATTTTACAATGGAAACTATTAATATCGATTATTTCAGTGCAAAAGAAAACAGAGCAAAAAATTGTTTTTAAAATGTCGTCTGATAGCTTGAATAAAATGCGAAATTCAAACCAAAAATAATAAAACTTCTTCATTTTTTACAAAGTCAAGAGATTTAATACCGACTTAAAAATGCTTTGAAATTTAATGTAAAACAGCGATATTTCGTTGGCACAACCTGTAACGTGTTTATAGGATTTTGAACGAGCGAAAATTGTGTTTAAAAATAATACAAAGTTTGCGCTTCGAAATAATATTTTAAAACTATTATAGCACAATACATGGCAAAATGTTTATTCTTATGCTCATTTTCTGAGTCGCCTTTTCACACTTGCACATGAAATTTGCCAAAATTCAGTACTTTCTTCAATTTTTAGGCGAGTTTTCATTCTATTAACAAAAACTAGAAAGAAAAGCACATGTTCTGACCTAATCACATTTCATTGGCACAACCTGTATATATGAGAAAATTAAGGTGAAAAACAAGCAATTTTAGCAAAATACCTCGCATACTGAAATTTGACGATGATCGTTGGCGCCCAAATATTTATACTTTGTCGTGGACAACAAACGCACCAGGTGATCTTGATTCGCGGAAAAGTACTGGCACTAGTTGTCAAATAGAAATCCATTTTATGATTAAAACAACTGAATATCTCCTGTAACATACTTTATTTCGATTCCAAATTTTTGCCAGAGCTATAGTTCTCATAACCAAACATAATTACAAAATTTCAACTAGTTTCATAAAGAATAACGAAAGATATAATTGACTGAATACATCAAAATGGATTTCTATTCGGACAACCCTTTCTGAGCGCTGATTGGCTAAAATACGAACACAAGATCACCTGGCATGTACTGCAAATTTCAAGTAATATTCCATCAATATTAAGTCCATGCTCGAGGTTATTTGCCATAGAAAACACACATTTTGCAAGAAACGTCATTTTCGACCATGTTTAAGCGAAGAATTCTTGACTGCTAATTTCCCGATTGCGACAAGTATATAATTGTGTTCTTGATTAACGTTTATTAACGTTTACGACTGCTAGCTTTCTTTTGTTTTCCCTCTGCTGCAGTACGAGAAACATGGTAGCGAAATCTGTGTTTTTGTTGTTTTCACAATTTTTGCTGGCAAAAAGAAAGCATCCGCGATAAATTTGGTCAGCGACGACAATTTTCCCACCTGTTGTAAACGAGTATATTATAAAAACAATCGGTTTTTCTCCCGTTTTTTGTGTGGAAAATATAAAACGTAGCGATGGACAGTGTTTATCCCGCAGCAAAAACAGTATTTTACTGAGATTTTAACGTCAATATAGGTTATTCCGTGAAAAATCAAGACAACTAAAGTCAACTATGGAATGAAAGTATAATTTGTGGAATTTGACATTAATATAAAAGAAAACAAAAGGTCAAAAATCACAAGAGAATGTCAAATGTTTATATTGATTCGCACGAAAAAATATGAACTATGTATGTCTGTGGCTGGATGACATTAGCGAGCTTAAGATGCATCTCTGAAATCTACGACGCGGACGTGAAGAAAAACTATAACTATTCCCACAATTTCACTACACGGATAAAAATTATGGCCTCCAGTTGGTAAACAAAGTCAGAGACACAAGTGAAGCAAAATAAAACTGGATTCCAAACATTAGCAACGGTTTTTATGTCGCATCCGCGTCGTAGATTTGGTACGTGCATCTTAAGCCAGATCTTAAGCAGGTTTTCCACTTCAAGCGTACCGAAACGTATCAAAAACGTTTTTAAATTTCAAAATTTCGTGAATGTTGATTGGTTAGTACTTACATCAGTTACATGGTACACCAAAACGTTGACTTGCGACGAACTTTTTATTTTGATACGCGAATACACCCGGAAGTACGTGATTTATAAACCTCTTTTCAATCTGCATGCGCATGCTCACCAGTACGTTTCGGTACGATACGGGCGAAGTGGAAAACCGGCTTTAAGCTCGCTATTCTTCAAGCAGCGTACAAGTTTAAAAAATGAATGCTACATTACCTGAGTGAGTTGTAATCTTATTTCGTCAACAATAGTTTCATATTTCTTACGATTTTGGTGTTGTGGACGCTTTTGTAGTTTTGTTGGTTGTTTGTTTTTGCCATACAAGGTACGACAATAGTACAAAGGTTTCCTTTTCCGATTGACTCCAAACATCTTTTACGTTAAATATCATGTTATATTTTCTCCGAAGTATTATTTCAACTTTCAAGCTCAGTTTTATAGATAATATTTTCGAAAAAAGCCGTAATATTTTCGGGAAAATGCTGCCATAGCCGACAGCAAAAAAAACATTTTGTCAATTTTCCCGCGTTTATTTATCACGATTTATGAATAAGGTCTATTGTAATGACAATTCTATGTCTTAATATGGAAACACTATAATGACTTTTCTAGTTTCTAAAAAAATCGAACCATTGGATAAATGGGTTATAAACTTTTCGGTTTTGTTTCAATTGATGTACTGCGGTGAATAATCCAAACTATACTAGTTCAGGATAAATACGCCAACTTATTGTCCGGGGTATATAATAGCTATATATACTATTACCATACATCTATAATAACATTATAAACAAATAATTATTCTGTATGATTGTAGTTTAATTGTTATGGAGTTGTTGTTCAAAGTAAAATCATACAATTATAGTCATTATTATAATCATTTAATTAGTCATTTAATTATAATTACTTAAAAGTATAGTCATTTGAAATAATAATTCTATCTGATAACATTCTTTAGGTTACCGTATTAAAGGTGTGAAGCTTGATATCTGGTACAATATACCAACCAAATATATTCAACAACTGTATAATGACCCCCGTTATCCTGAAAATCCTGATCTTACCTCCAAGCTTGGAACATTTGATTATCTAAATCGAGGCGATGAGTATGGAGGTCGTTTGTCAGCAGTGTATCAGGTAAGTCGGCTCTTTGCCTAACGCTTAAACTTTGGGGACGTCAAAACTACTAGTGACTGCATTGATGGTATGGGAACAGTGAAAATTAAGAAAGTGAAATGTTCTGATCACTAAATTGTGGCACGTTATCATGTGATATGTGTTCCGCAAAGTACCGTTCGTAGATGCTCGTACCGTTCTAATGATGCAATCTGCACTTTTTAATTTAATTAAGCGCTGAACTGATTAGTTTGGTATATACAGTATAGCAATCTATAAACATTGCCTTCGCGGACGTTTCGTACATGGTACCAAGGATGGTACGTAAGACATGTTATAAGCTCTATGCATTTGAGGTACTAGTATATATATACTGGTTTGTGTTCATAATTATACTGCATGTGTAGATATTAATTAAGTGCTATTTTATTTTCTTAAAGCCAACAATAAGTGGTAACTACACATTTTATGTTGCTTGTACTGACGAGTGTGACGTTTTCCTACGAGATGGAGAAAGTGGTGGTACACTTCAAAAGATCATTTCTTTAAAGAAAGCAACAAAATATCAAGATTGGAAGTAAGCTAATTAAAACTTACCGTTTCTTTAATAAATATTGCTTTACGAATCACTAATCAGATGCGTTTCAGATAGATCCGATTGACCAGTCAGATGGAATACTAATGGTATAGCAGTAGTTGAATTCAAATCTGAATCTCACTTATAATACAACTCGATAGTACGCGTACAAAAGTGAAGGAAGTTAATTAAAATTGACCAAAAGAGGCCGGCTCAATTTTGTATGTGCGTGACATCTGAGTTCACAAAAATGTCGTAACGCTTCAAAATTTTTAAAAATGACTCGACATGATAAATTCGTTTTGTCTCTTCGGTAATGTAGTTAGTATACAGACCTGTAAAAATGTTAGCAAACACTTTAGCGCTTCTTTTTTTTTCATCAAGCACGTAATCAAGGTAATAAAATGAAGCTGCAGCCTAAAGTAAGGTTGATCATCATTTGTAATTTTAAAGCAGCTGAATCTATACTCATTTAGTGCTTCTGCTGACCAGAAATCTCTACCAATTCATTTGGAAAAAAGAAACCTCTACGAGCTGGTAGCAACATTAAAGGAAAAAGGGGGAAGGGATTATATCACAGTGGCCGTAGAGTTGCCAAATAGGGAGTTTCTAGCACCTATACCAGCTGAACGACTTTTTATTGGTAAGTTATTTCATATTTATACGCTACATGTTTGTTGTGAGTGTGTAAACAGGTGCTGGTTAATCAAATTTGTGCACGAGTTAACGTGTTGGCACGTTGTAATAATCTGAGATGTGAGGATATGTGAAACTTGCTGATAATATCCGGCGAACCACCATAAGCTTTGAGTTTAATTAATGAATAAACTAACCTTTTACTTGTATGCAAATCAACCTTGTAACAACATCGTGAAAATACAATGCAATATGGCGTGGCTAAGACCCCTGCGGTTATACGATACCGGATTCGCTTGTCACGACATCGAATTTAACGGTTTCAGGAATATCTTAAAACTTAAAATTGCGAAAATAATAAACTAAAACGAAAACTGCTAAAAGGGGAATTTTTGTGAGCAGATATTACTCCTGAATGACATATAATTATATGTTGATGTTATAATGTTGATCCGGTACGTGTGAGGTCTGTTTCAAACGTCGCGCTTCTCATGTGCCGAACGCATTAGAAACAATAGATAATGAGGCATTTCAACTGATTATCTATTGAATGTTGCATTTAATGTGTTCGGCACATGAGAAGCGCGACGTTTGAAACAGGCCTAAACTGGGGCCTAAAGGTTCAAAGTTAGTTATTGCAAAATCGAAGAATGGCAATATTCTGATTTTCTAGACACGAAAGAAGAAAGCATTGAAGTAACGGCATGAAAAATCCAAATCAACTCCAAATCTTGTATGCGCTGGCACGTTCCACTTACACATCAATTTTGGGCTGAATTTTTAGTATAAGTATACTTAATGGTTTAAGCACGATATTAGGTCAGTAGTATATTCGTTGTATTCTTACATTTCTTGAAATAAAACCGTTTGTTAAAATTTGATTGGTACATGCTTATTTTTATAATGATTTATGTATTCAATATCGAATATTGGATCTCTATATATGCATCCTATCGAAATATATGCATCCAGCAAGTATACCCGTATTCTTGGATTTCATATGACATCACAAAAGTGACGGACGGTCAACAAAACACAGTTATCAGAGTGAGTCGATTGTTCGTTTTATGTATTAGCCTTGTCTTCGGTGGCAAATACATGGAATTTCGTATCATTTTCTCACTCCACTACAGCATAAGCATCAATACATGCATTTGAGGTTGACCCCCCGTCAGATTCACTGCATAATGCTGTAGTGAAACCCAAGAATAGGCAACCCCTGCCATTAAGCACCCTCTGGGTATAAGCATCCACTAAGTATAATCTACAGAATTTGCAAAAATTAAGACAAATGCAAAACTCAGAAATGTGTGAAATGACTTTGCTTTCTCTTTATATTTTCCATACTAATTTTGCAGTCAATAATGCTTCATTTCACCTGTAACATGAACAACCCCTACAATATTGGTTAACCCCAGTGCGCCCTACTTTTTTTACCTGTCCAGTGTCTAACGCCAGACGATTTTATTCGTCAATGGGGAAGCTTTGCAACTTAATGGTTAGGAAAAGTAATCTTTCAAAAATGTGTTCAAATAATGCTGGAAATGTCATTTCAGAAACCTAAATTTTAAGACATTGTGGGAAGTGTGTATGATGCTGGAACACCTAGCTCCTCCCTCCTAGGAGTGCCAAGTCTTATGCACGATATGCAGTCAACCTCGACAGCTATGACAATAGCCGTTTTCACATTAGAAGACGGACAAGTCGTCTAAACGAATAAATCGTCTCAAAATCGTCTTTTAGTCTGACAAATCATCAGATGTGAAAACGTGTCGGACAAAATTTTAGACGAACAAGTCGTCTGAATTTGTTCGACTACTTGTCCGTCTGTGAAGACGATTTTTGAGAGACGATTTGTTCGTCTAGACGACTTGTCCGTCTCTAATGTGAATAGGGCTAATGTTATCTGCTGAAGCTGAGGGCTGGACACAGTTATTGATACATTGTACAATTGCAAATGCAAGAGCACATGCAGTTGCAGAGAGTTGTGTAGGTCAGCCATGCATACTAGAAGTTATGTCACCTACCGACAATTTTTCAATGTCGGAGGCAGCAAGACATTGAGAATTGTTTGTAGATTCTTAGCCAATCACCACAGAGAATGCATATGCATTGTACAATAATATCTCCTCTTATTACTATTAAAGTTAGCCAGCATGGCAGGCTCTCTGGGTTTGGAGGAAGGTTTGGGGAGTTAAAGTTTACCAAGCTAGCCACATGTACGCATTGCGTACCTATTTTTGGACTTTAAGTTCTCGCTCCAGATATATATGGAGCTCACTGGTTGAACGCTATTTCGATTTGACTAATTAGCCTTTCTCGCCACCATTTTTGGGGTACTTTTTTGCCAATCCTGCGAGCGTAACACCACGTAACGGCGACATTTTATAATTTTATGGGTGTATGATGGTAAATTTACTCTGTAAATAGTTAGTTTGTTCTGAAATATTGCTTTTCACATTGTTATAATCGTTTACGCAAAATTACAGTAACCCAAAAATGGCGGCGTGAGAAAGGCTAATTTCTTAATCGTGAATTGTATACGCAACTTAATTTGAATGCACGCGCTTCTAAAGTTATATATACGCCATATACTGTAAATATACTGCTGAAGATGAAATTGATTCGAGATATGTCTAAATAAATTGTGTACTGTATCGCATGCATACTTTTTTCGAAATAATATTAGTTTTATATTTGCTGAAACTATCAGCTGGTGCAGGGTTACTCTATTTTCGCATATTTTATCGAAATGGTTCGACTATAGATAGTCTGAAGTCTGAGGTCCCATGTCTGAAGCCCCACCGCAGCTTCCGCAAAAAAGTCAAAGGTAACTATAAGCATTTGAATTATAGATTGCAAATTAAATCTACTGAGTACTGTAATTGTTGCCGGCCGATTTAAAAAAAAAAACGAATGATGTTGTATAGAATTTCGGAATGCTCTACTAAAAAGGCCGTCCTTCACGACAATTCACTGTGTTTTTATCGCTAAATTATTCAATTTTATTTCGTATGTTGTATTATGTTTACACACCTATTTCTCTCTCGCGCGCTATGTATTCTATATTGTTTTTCCCTAAATGTCAATCGTACAGTATAATTATGTCCTTATATGGTGTTCATAACTAGAGTTTATTCATAACCTATTTATAGTCTGTTTCCAACACACTCCCCTATTTTTTTTAGATTTATTAAAAAGACCGATTTAGCAGTCGAGGACTGAATTACATCGGTTTACAAGATTAAAAGGATTAAAATACAAAATACAATCAGATTAAGAATTATTACAGTAATAATTACATGGTTAATTATATTAAGTTTTACTAATGTTAAAAGCTTTCCTTCCAGCAATTATGAAACTGTTTGCATATCTATTAGTTCTACACCTAGGTATTGATAGTTTGTTATATATTACCACCCCGAATGGAATATTCTGTATCCCGATTGGAAGGGACAAGGGAATGTAACTTGTGTGCTTCGTCAGTACGCATTCGTTCAAAAAATCTCTTACAGATCGTCTCTCTCCGTATGAATAATGACACCACACCGGCGCGGTCCATTGCAATATCATAACAACAATCTGGGAAGATTATTCGCAGGGCTCTGCGTTGGATCCTTTCGATTTGATCACTTAAATACTGGGGCAAACTGTGATGCCATACTTCGCACGAGTATTCTAAAATTGGTCTGATGCATGTATTAAACACTCGCACTAACTTGCTTGATGGAATGGAAGATCTCTTTAATAATAATCGTAGAGCATGCAGACGCTTCGCAGCTTTCTTACAAATGAAATCAACATGAAGAACCCACTTGAGGTCTTCGGAGATGATTAATCCGAGTAATTTAGCATGTGACACGACAGAAATGTTACAGCCATCAATGGTAAGTGGAGGAAGTGCTTCGGTATCACAAGTCGAAAAACATATTCGAATTTCCTTGGTTTTAGTGGGATTCAATTTCATATTGGTTTTGGCCACCCAACTGGAGCATTCACTAATTTGTGCCGGTAAGACTGAAGCAGACGATTCGGAGCGCTCGTAATTATTTCCCATAAAGTAGTGTCGTCTACGAATTTAACAGAATCGTCAGAGACCTTCGGGTCGTTCACCATAATTAAAAAGGGCAAGGGGCCAAGTTTGGTTCCCTGTGGGACTCCACCATTGATTGGCCTCCAACAAGAATAATTCGGGCCGATTCTTGTACGCTGTCTTCTGTCTGTGAGAAAGTTGGCGATCCAATTAGTAAGGAGAGGATGTATCCCCACATTTATCAATTTTTGAAGTCAGATGTTGAAGTCATTCCGGTCAAATGCTTTTGAGAAGTCCAACGTACAGATTCGAAGACAGGTGCCGGGTGTGTCCATAGCTTCGTACCATTTATGGAGCATATATAATAATGCCATTGTGGAACTTGATCTTTTAAGCGCACCAAATTGGAGGTTATCAATTTGACCGCTAACTGACCGTAAAAGACAGCTATGAGGGAATGACTCTAAGATCTTGCTTACAATTGGCGTAACACCGGAGGTGTTCAATACACTTGTTGCATGCATTACCCTATAATAGTATTATCAATATCAACCTATATAAGTTCAAGTCTTAAACATCAGTTCAGTTACTGTTTTCATCTTCTCCAATGTCACTCATACGAACTTTCGCTACCTCCGCTACGTTGCGTCTCGGTCGAAAGGCTGGTATCTCCGGATTTAATTTCGTCTTCGTATTTCTTCCTATGTTGCAGCTCAGCTCCAACGGATAAAGGTGCTGTATTGCCCTTTCAAGTTCGTCACCCTTTATGATTACAACTTCACATTTTTCCACTGTTCCGGATGATCTTCTGTGTTTGAGTTTCTCACTCGCTTCGCCTTGTCGTTGAGCCTTTTCTTTCCAAAATTTCTTTTCTACTTCAATCTCTTCTGTAGTTAGTGGACCAACCCTTTTATTTTTGTTTCTCACGTTTTGCACAAACCTCGCGATCCATGCAGGCATGCACACGTTCTAATCACCGTCCAGTAATTACGCCTTCCAATAGGTTGACTGAACTCATCTGGTTCGTGTTCGGTCGCCAATTTGAACAATTCAAGAACTTTCTTAGCCTCTCCAAGTTATTCTTTGGTAGCTTTCGTACTGACGTTTGCAGGCCATTCCTCAGGTTTGGAAAGCCACTTTGGTCCGTTCCACCATAGCTCGTTGTTCTGCATTACAGCACCGCCACGGCTGCCCAAATCGGCCGGATTCTCGTGCGTTGGGACGTATCTCCACTCGAGGTTTTTCTGCTGAATTTTGTCGACTCGGTTTTGCACGAATTGCTTGTAGTTTCCTTTGCCTCGAATCCAATGAAGGGCCACCGTACTATCTTAAGCCGGTTTTCCACTAGGCGCAATTTTGCGCGCGCAGCGGAAATTTTCTTTGTCTTTTCTAATTAGTTCCACCCGAGAAATCACAAGACAAAGAAAAATTCCGCTCCGCGCGCAAAATTCCGCCTAGTGGAAAACCGGCTTAACCAACAGTATGAGTTTGCTACAGGGAATCCTTCGAGTGCTTCCTTGACATTAGTGACATTATAGTCGGTCCTTGTTTGGCGAGTCGTGCCTTGGCTGTCAAGAGCCTTGCGTTTGCCCTGATGGTTGAGACACTACAGCATAGGTGGATGTAGCTACTCCGTTTCCACTCGCATCGCCGAACGCATGAAGAGTGATGCTGGTGACTGGTTCTTGGTACGTTTCCAAAGACCTCACTGTTATTATACGTTCTGGTAGCTCTCTTTCCCATCGTTTCCATCTCTTACCGAGGCAAATTGGTAGTGCTTGATCGCATGCACATTTAAGGTTGCACGCTTCTCGATACAGCATCTTTCCAGTTAGTGACAATGGTGACGCCAACCCCAGTGGGTCATAGATCTTTGCTACTGTCGTTAGAACTTCTCGTTTGGTTGTTGGTACTTCCTCATTCGAAATAGGAATGCTAATTGTGTCTTTATTCTTATTCCATGCAAGCCCAAGGAGGCTGCAGTTCCCGTTATCTGGCTGTCTCCAGTGGCGTGCTGGCAGGGGGGCCCGGGGGGCCACGGCCCCCCCAGCTGGCAATTCTTGGGGGGCGCAAAAATGAAAATGGGGCGCCGAATTTTGAAAGTTGGTGGGAAAAAATACTTACAGGCTACAGTATAAAACAGACTAAGCGCATAGGCGACATATATTAAATTACAGACTATTTTTCCTAACCGTATTTGCTACCTCACAGCTCACACGAAATCGTTCATATAAAAACATGATCATCAGTGATCACAGGCAATGTCTCATTACCGGAATATTGGTCAGGTTTCGATCGAAGCGATCACGGGAGTTATGCCCTTTTTTGCTGGTATTATGCCCTTATAATATGCCCTTTATTATGCTTCACAAATCACGAGGGCGGCGCAAATTAGATAGTTGAAGTTATGATAACTGATGTAAAGTTGTGTACGCAATTTAGTTGTTTGCACAAGAAGCATGAGTAATGTAAGTAATGAAATAATGCTGAAACATGCCCTTTGGGCAGCCAGGCAAAGAAACCTTAAAATGCATATGCGTGGGGTGCGTGTGTTATTGTATAAAAGAGCTTTAAGTTGTAAATGTGCTCAGAACAGTAGATCAGTAGAAAACAGAATTGGGATTAAATTAATCGCTGGAAGTAGTTAGCATTGCATAATTTAAGTACTACTACTAAATTCTAACCAAATTGCAAATTTCGACACGTTATAATGCCGTTTCCTGACCATCAGATTTCTGTCAAATCTTCCCCCAAAGTTCAGGAAATGGCATTTCAGAGACTCTATAAATTCAAAAATTTTCCTGGGGGCATGCCCCCGGACCCCCCCAGACAAATCTCGCACCTGCGGTACTCGGCTCGTGCCTTCGGCCCTCGTTTATCAAGTGTAACATTATAGGGGCGCATATTGGTTGACAGCCCACTGGCCCCTCCAGAAAAATAGTACCCAGCACGCCACTGGCTGTCTCAGTTGCTGTTTTGCAAAGGTCTGATCTGTGAGTTTTTCTTTATGTTGGTTGGATTCCACGGTGTAGCTTCGTAATTCGAATGCCACTTGTGTAGTTGGAAGGCAGCTTCCTCGAATATTTCTGTAGCTTCAACTTTGAGTAGCTTGGCGTCATTGGTGGTTGTTGCGCCTGATATCAAATCATCCACGTAGAGGCTCTTTTCGATTTCACGCACAGTTTCTGGATTTTTACTGCGGCACACTTCAAGATGTTGTTTGATCACTCCGCCCAAAAGAAATGGAGATGGGGCGAGTCCGAATAATGCCCTAGTAAACCTGTAAGTCTCCACTTCCTTTGAATTCACATCTTTTAACCAGTGGAATCTTAAAGCATCTCTGTCCTCTTCACAAATTCGGTCTTGTAAGAAGACTTGCTTGATATCTGCTGTGAGGGCTACAGGATTAAATCGTCATCTTACAAGCACACTCCAGAGTTGGTTTTGGAGTGGCGGACCAGGGTTCAGACATTCATTGAGAGATGGGGTATCATCTTCTACTCGCGCCGAAGCATCGTACACAATTCGAAGTTTTGTACTCTCTGCTTTCTCTCGTATCACTGGCTTATGTGGAATGTAGCATTCTTCGCCGACCACTGTGTCTGGGGCACGCTCTATTACGCCTTGATCCAGCTGCTCTCTGATGATTGCATCATAATCGTTGATCGTTCCTGATTTCTCCAGCTTGCGAACTGGAGTGTTTAATCTATGTAAACTAACATCTTTCCCAGTTGGCAGCGCCGGATGATCACCTTTCTAAGGGAGACCGGTTTGATATACCATCCATCTTTACTTCTTTGTAGCTGCTCCTTAAATTCTTCAAACACTTCATTTGATTTCACAACTGACAAGTGACAAAGCTATCGATTTGACTATGTTTTTGAATTGTTTATATTGTCGTAATTGTACAGCACGTGCAGTTGCACGCGCCCAGCATGTAGCGATAACTGCATGTGATTGGTTCTCTAAATTAGCTTTATCATTCTAAAAATACAAGTGATCTTTGATATGTTTTGACATAATATTGGAAACAGAGCATGTGCGGCAGAGCCTTATTTTCTACGCGAAACGGCAGAGCAAACACGGCAGAGCCTTATTTTCTACGCGAGGGGAAATCAGGCTCTGCATGCTCTCAGGGTATAAGTAACCTCATGGAATGCAACAATAAAATGCGAACACACTTTTTTAGAACAATCGTCGAGAGAGGTAAAAATCATCATGATAGTTTGACAGGTTTTTAGTGAAACTGGCGTTTAACGTAGATCGCGGCGCAAATGTACCACCACAAACTTAAACTTATAGAAATATTCGAGGAAAATATTTGTATTCATCTATCTGGCTACATTCGGCGAAAATGTGATAGAACGTGGATAAAATGTATATCTCCTGAAACGCGCGCCTGCAGGATATATCTTGTAACCTTAATTAAAATATGTTGATCCGAAGACTGAGAAAATAATTATTTTACTCCTGTTTAATTAACATATAACTTTGCCAGACTCGCGACCAGCGACATGTGGACGACGGCTCTCGGGACTATCTATGAAACTTTCCAATGATAAATTGAAATAAATTTGATGTCCGTATAGCATCGACGCCGGCCGCTTTGTGGATACAGAAAACCATTAGGCCTATATAGACATACAGGCTGTTGATTAATTTTGTGCCAGCAAACAAAAATATATAGGAAATTATGGATTTCAATAATTCACGTTTTGAACAAAAGCTTAAGTTCTAGCTTCGTCAGAAGGTTGTTAATTAAGTTAAACTGACACGGCAATTTTATTTAATTCATACACGTGTGATACGGACTATATACAGAAAGCATATAGGCTACGCCTTCATAAAGACTTGAAGTCAGAAACCTTTAAAACTGACAATAATATAGCTATATTTACTGGTTTCCTGTTTTTAAAATATATTCAAATTTTTGCGTTTTCATTTCAAGGTAAAGTGAAAATTATGTGCCTATAATAATATTATAAAAGATGGAAAGCCAACTGCCTTTGGTTATAAGCATGCATCATAGGTCTTCTTTTCAATTACTGTTGAGTTTAATTAAAATGTTTCAATAAATCAAACAAATTTGAACAGCAGGGCCTAGCTTCAGCCAACCTTAGCCAATATTTATGTTTTATATAAATATATGTACAGTATATAGTTATATTTCGATAATTAAAAATTAGATTAAAAGTTAAAACTCGTATGTCCAGAAAAACAAACCTGTCTCTTTTGCCATTCATAAAATGACAAAGTGTTTCATAGTGATATATTATTATAGGCGTAGTGTTCTCGTTTCGGTACTAAATTTAATCCAAAATTGACTGAAATGCAACCAAAAATTGTTAAATAAATGTTGACGGTTCTGGTTTCATCCAGAAGTCCATAACATTTCTCACCTCAGATGACCAAGGTCAAGGAACACGCGAGTGTTCAAGGGAGGCAAGTTATCATCTTTATGAAAGTGTATATATATATTTCATTTAATGTACCAAGATTTTTATCAAATATAATATTATAAACCCGGAACAAGGGGGCTTCGACGAAATATTACTCAAAGTAATGATATTTCCCAAGGTGCATCCCTTATACAGCTATTTCAATTAAGGTTGTCCCCCGAGCAAAGCGGAAAAGTCGAATACGAGCGCGAAAGGCTGCTGGGAATCGCTAATAAATTCATTCATGTATTAGCGATTCCCAGCAGCCTTTCGCGCTCGTATTCGACTTTTCCGCTTTGCTCGGGGGACAACCTTAATTGAAATAGCTGTATATCAAAACTCATCATGCACCCCTTATGTCGTCCATCCTGAATGCGCGATGGCTAGGCTATATACGCGCAGTTATGGCAAATCATATCACCTCGGGTATTCGGAAAACAGTGTATAATTTAAGATCCTATAGGATCTATTTGGCCTATTTCGTCACCCGCATTTTTCTTTCTTATTTTCCCCGTGACTCGGATAGTTAGTAACTATTCACATGAAACGATCGAAAAATTAATTTGCACCATCTGTTTTGCTGGCTCTATACGACTATATAGACATTTTATATAGATGGCATACGTATCACATTCGTGTGATTTGCCATATTTTATAAACATTAAGAATTTTATTACAAACATAAAACAACGCGGATACCCCGTAAATATAGTCAGATATCAATTTGTTCTCACTATAAAACTCTTATAATGCAAACACATCACAAAACGTCTTTAATTAATTTTTAAATGGCAGCCTAAATTAAATTATAGGCTACAGCAGGATACCCATACCTGTAGCAAATAATCATAACGTAATATGAATTTTACTTTTCGCAATAATTTAAAAGGATATATATCATTGCATGCATATATATATATATATATATATATATATATATATATATATATATATATATATATATATATATATATATATATATATATATATATATATAGTTCTGTTAATTGTTTGCTACGCGCGAGTGTTGCCCGCTCTAACCGACTATATACGTAAACATATAAACGTTAATTCATGCAAAATGAATATCTAGAAAGAACGGTTTCCATGCAGTTTACGAAAAAAATATACAGTATCTAACAGAAAAGAAAAATGCTCAACAGGCAACAGGAAATGTTGCTGAAACGCTTTTTAACGGGTTCTTTTATTGCTAAAATAATTTATTTACACTATAGAAATATATATGCATGCAGAAACCCTCGAGTTGCTGACAAAACCATTATATTTTCCGAACATGAAGTATTCAAAGTAGTTGTCATGGTAGCCTGCCTGGCAGGATGAGCCTGCTACGCAGGTTATTGTCATGGTAAAACGATAATTTTATTAAGAAAATTTTTAATATTGAAAAATCCCATGAAAATATCACTTTTAATTACAAAATTATCAATATTCCCAAACATAGCTATATATATAATTATCTTACGTATGTTATTAATGTATATTGTATACGGTATAATAACCTTGAATTTAATGTACAATTCAACCAGAAACGCTTCGCAAAACGTTTTGACATGTTCTTAAAACTAAACTGCCTTTTATCTTTGAGTTTGAAATAAAATGATTTCAAATTCTCGCATGCACATAATTTTGCTTTTCTCTTAATTTATTTAAAAATATTAATATAGATGAAAAAGGGTAATCAATAAATATACACTCAAATATATGCTGTCTTTTTCATTATACGCAACGATCAGTTTTTAAAGCAATTATAAAGCAAACAATACATCGATATTTAAAACAAACTTACTTTCATTAACGTCGGCTTATTTGCTCCTTTCTGTTAGCAAGCCTTCCGGCTGTTTTTTTTCAAAAAAGCTTTTGAAATTTACAAAATCTTGCAAAAATCGGGAATTAGAGAGTGAAAGTAAAATAATTATTTATGACATATACAGGTATATAATGTATAATTATTATTTTCGACATGTACATGGCATTACTCGTGTGTATAGAACTACGCCCATATGCATACGTAGCAGATCTAATTAATGGGATATTTTCGTCTTTCTGGGACCAATGGCAGAAATTTTGTTCTTAAGTTGCCCTGTATATATATATACTGACGACTTGATGGGAAACTTGTATAAACCTTATTCACAAGGAAACTTAGTCGTACAATCTTGGGAAAGCAAATTAAAATTTTACAGCTGACGGACGATTTATAATAAAGTGCATGTATACCGTTTGTTGCCTTAATTTAAAATGGAGGTTTAATATTCCCTCTCGTTTCTTTCCGCCATTCCCCATGTATTGGCATCATCAATGACAAATTTGCAAACGGCACTTGTTGTAACACTTGATTAGATATTTTACAGATTTATAGATTTTATATATTATATTATATTTAAGTTATTATAAAGTTGACGTGTCGTGTTTTCAAATAAATTGTGTGATTTTCATGCATATGTTAAAAACAATCAAGAGCTTTATAATTTTATAATGCAAACACGGTAACGAAAACTAATATTTAACGTGTTGTCTAAATAAACATAATTATTTTTACGGGTGACAATTAAATATCACTTTAATTATATATATATAGCAGCTATATAAGACTGACCGGTTCATTTGTCGCTTGTCACGCGCGGTTGTTGCAAGAATGTATTTCGATATTGGTATTACGTTAGTTTTGTCCATTGCTACACTTAACTTACCAATTGTAAAATCTGAGATCTCTGGTAAGTACTTTTTAAAGCTACGATTTTTCGCATTCATTTTGTCAAGGTTTATGGCTACGCCTGCATCTTATACACTGACAATCCAGACTGAGTACAAAAGTATGTACGGTATAAAATAATGTATATACAATTAAGCAAAAGACTTCACTATATAGGCATGCATGCATTCTTTCTAAAATTAATTTGGATTGAATTAAATTTTGGTGTGAGTCGAGAAAAATCCCAGTTCTTGAGCGTGTACAATATATATATTTGTGACGTGGCAAAAATTGTATATATCTTCTTATCACAGTTGAGTTATGCTTAGAGTTACGCCATTGGATGTTTGCTTCATTGTGCCAAAAATTATTGTTATAGCACTGTACATGTACACAGAAAGACTTGGACATTGTTTTCATACACCATATATTAATTTAATGATTTTACTTTTGTATATGCATCATACATGTGTCGATATAGCCTATATGTGCATGCATGTGCAGTTGTATATGTATATAATAACAAATTCGCTATTTGGATCATTGCTTTCAATCTTTCATGCATATATTGATTACGTAGCTGTATAGAAGAAGTGTTAAGTCTTTAATGTCTTTTAGATCGTTTCGTGAGCAAGTTGAGTAGGTAGCCTATATAGGGTTGTTGCTGGAAAAAAATGAAATAAAATCCATACTGTACGTGGTCGAATTTGTAATTGCATCACTAAATTCTATAGTATATCCATATTATTTCCATAATATATCCATAGTATCAGAATTGCAATTAGTATGAAAATTGGATTTCCATGCTATTTCCAACAAAGATCCATCCTATTGCCATAGTAAGTATTTTGAAAGAAAATTCTATGAGTGTTATACGCGGTAAGTGATGAAATAACTAATATTTCCATAGCAGAAAAGCTAAACAAGCAAACTGCATATAATTTTAATCTTCAATATATTTATTAATTAAACTATTAAGGTCATGTTTTCATGAATACCAGAGTTAAGAGATGTCTGCAACCGGAATCTTCACGGCCCATTGAAGGGACCAAGATCATTCATACCTCAAACTGCAGAGATTCCTCGGCGTTCTTTAAAGTTCTAGATAGTGGAGCTATACAACATGTCAAAAGTGGTCTATGTATTCATTTATCTGGTAACAGGTGGAACCCCAGAAATAGAGAGAAAGCAATTCTCAAACGAGGTAATCCTGATGACTTTAATTTGATTTAATTTTTTTGCCAGAAACCATTTCAGGCAAAGAAAATGCTTGACATAATTCCATGATAGAAAAGACATGGAAACCCATGCATGCAGAAATAAGGTGATTGGATTGTTGACGATATCGCTGCATGGATTACTACCGACACTGGTACAGACAGTTTTATTAAAAATAACAAACCATATATATATATATATATATATATATATATATATATATATATATATATATATATATATATATATATATATATATATATAAATAGGACGTGCAGAAGAATATGCTTCAGTTGAATGAATGTCAGATCAATAAATGTTTAGAAATTAAATTGGAAATTAAATTTCTAATTCGTGTTTCTAATTATAAGAATAAAATATTATAGAACTGAGCGAGTACTTTGTAAAATGTAGGGATAACCTGGATCTGTGCCTGTGGTAATATTAATTATCTCAATGTTAAGAAATTTGAAACCCAAACAAACGAAATACTAGATACTTATACACAATATTATTGTTATAAATTAGAAAGGATGATAATTTCCCATGCATTAGCTATATAATTATCTAACCTTTCCTCATTGCGCTCGGATCGAGGCTTGTTTCCTTAAAGTGGAAGTCAAGTCCGTAATGTAAACAAACGGTTTGTTTACATTTTGAACTGCTGTATTTTTTAAAATATGATGTAGGCTACTGTCTGAATATCTAACACCATTTTGGTTCGCTGTGCTTCTAAATGAATATGAAATAGAGTTTATGTTCAGAAAAATTCGAAACATTCGAAATTTGCATGGGCAATGTTCACATTAAAGGGTCCTCACATTGTTATGAGCAGAACCGATGCGCAGAACAGACTTGACTTCCACTTTAACAACGATATATAAATAATTATTATATGATAGTAAATGTCGGAAAGCATGAAATTGTATCTATAACTGTTTTTTTAATTTTCCTACTTTAATTTTCCTATTTAACAGTTCTTAGTCTGTTTTTTAAAAATTACCACATGTAATAATGATATATACACATGCAATATTTTTTAAAGTCGTTCAATATCTTGAGTTCATATTAATTTTTCACCAAATCCCTGAAAGTTCTTTGTCTGATAATAATACATAACATGCTACAATTTCTAATAATTTAACGGTATCGATATTTTTTAATTAACTCATTCTTTGTTTAGATTGTTCTGCTCAGAAATTCTTTTTCACGTATACCGGGAAGAGTTTCAAAATAAGGAATAAATGTCTCCGTCCTTTGAGTATCAGAAAGCCTGAAAGCAGTCCATTGATTATTTACTCCGGGTGTAACACTTATGAATCCACATACAGCTTTGTTGATATCGTAAAAGGTATACATTATCACCGCCACCATTATCATCATCATCGTCATTATTGTCATTTTGCTTGCATGGAGGAGATGAATTATATTACTTCATCTTTTAAAAGCTTCTGTGTCCTTTATTAACATTCTCACTGCAACGTTGTGTTCTTCGTTTTTTCCATAAATTCCATATTTAAGACCAAGTATATTTAAAAGTATATTTAACCTTTTGCTTCGTTTTCCTTGGGTAAACAACCACCGCTTTGTTGGGTTACATTGTACAAGCATTTGGTGAAGGCAAATAATGCATTTAATGCCTTCTATAGCTGCGTAGCGATGGTTCAATTTCGCAAGCCAGGCTCTCTACTTCCACTTCCCTCCCAAACACGCTTTTTGCTCGAACGTGTTTAAGAGGGAAGCGGAAGTAAAGAACCTGGCTTGCGAGGTTGGCGACGGTTCAGCTAGCCAATGGCACAAGTATATTTTGCTACACTGAATTTTTTATCGAAATCCTGGTACAATTGTTTAGATTCTGTTTCAAACAAAAAAACTGTTTGGATGCCATATGACACAGTGTTTCTACACTCTTATATAGAAGCTCTTAAAAACTCGCTTAAACGCTGTTTGACTGAGACGAATGATGTTGGAATACTGTTTATTAATTTTGAAACAATGTCCGAACGCTCTTGTACTGACAAGCGTTTAAACGCCATGCAGTTTGAGTTGTTTTTAAAGGCTGTTCGAACGCTGTAGAATAATGTTTGGACACTGATACTCTATACACGCGTTTAAAAGCTAGGCCTTTGCATGGGTTCACGGTGTTGGAATGTTGTTTATTATTTAAAAGGGTGCTCGATTGTTCTTTGAATGGTGTATGAGTATCAACCAAATGAAAAAAATATTGATTCATATTTCAAACCATTAATTTAAACATTCATGTTAACAATATATAACAATCCCTTTACTCAATGTGTACACCTTTGCTAATTGTTTAATAAATCCATACTCCACAGGTTGTGATTTGGATTGCTTGGAGAACATTAAAAGTGAAAAAGAAAATACAAATTCATTTGACGAGTTCTACAAGATGTCGGAAGCAGAAGCCAAATCGTTAGTTTCTAAGTCTTCAAAATTTATCTCTACATTGAAAAAAGAAGTACCTCATTTGTACAAGGACTTGCTTTCCACCTTCTTCCCTATTGATCCAAAAGTCGTTGAGAATCTGGAAACATTGGTCAATCATTTTGGCATGGAAAAAGTGAAAGCTTACCCGTCGCTATTTCTGGCTACTGCTTTCATTAGACGACATATAGGAGTGAATGCAAGTGAACCTGCTGTTTGTGGAGGTACCAATTGTGTCGTCATTTAAAAACTATTTATAAATTAATAGCAATGAAGTATTTATAAAAGAGTCATTCATTTTACCACCAGGTACTGGGCACAGCATTGCTGGAGTTCCTGCAATTGATGAAGAAGATGCAGAATACAAACTAAGTTTAAGTGAAAGTGAATTAGCGTCACTTTTAGATGATGAGGACTACAAAGCACAGCAAGCAATTGACAAGGAAAGAGAGAAAGACGAAAAGACCGTAAGTATAAATGATGACGACAAAATTCGAATTATTGATTCACAGACTCCGTGTGTCAATGCAAACTGTATGTTTACGCCGAATTGTAAAAGACACTTTCAATGTTCCACTAGAAACGGCATAATCAGACTATTTCTTCTTTCCAATTTCCCTTTCAGTTCAGGGTTTGAGCCTTCATATATGTGTCGTTTTCATGCAAGTTGCATCATCTCAATTTCTTCCATAATATCTTAGATCCATCATTCTATCTTTTGTCTTGAGTCTCTTGACCTTTTATCTTTTGTCCTTATCTGAGGCTCTCTATTTTTTTCTTCTTATTCCTCCTCCGTATCTCTCTACCGCTTACAGGTTCTTTACAGCACTCGTGCATACCTGGTTTTCTATCACTCAATCTAATCAACTGTCGGAACCGCGTCATTCTTGCCTGTTTTTACTTTCTTGCCAATGATTTCTACTCCCGTGCTTTTTCTAACCTCCTCATTTGTGAGATGTTCTCCAGGGGATATTCTTCATATCCATCATAGCATTCGGAGTTCAGTACTCACTCAGGTAACTGAAACATACTACACTCGATCAGTACTGCTTTTGTCTACAGTAGATTCTACACAATTTTATAAATAGGTATCATTTTCAGCTCCAATTTTAGTAAAATATCTACCAGGGGAAATAGTAATTAATACAAATCACAAAAATAATAATAGGCCTACAATTAGTTAACAAAATTTTGTCAAATTAACTTTGGTATATTGTGACTCTTAGCACCTGCATGCAGCAGTTGTTATCGGACAACTTGTTCAACAGACACCGCCGTACTACTAGTTTAATGTAGATTGAAATCATTATTTCAGGGCAAAAACACAGACGAATTTCGAGTTAGTGCAGTGCAGAAACTTATTGATCGCTTAGATGGAAAATACCATCACAAATTCTGGACTCAGGAAAGTTTGAAAGTTGCAATGGACTTGTGCGGATTCACTGACCCAAGTGAAATAAAATTTCCGCCCCGTGGTGATGGTATGTCTGGCATTGAATATTTAGAGTATTATTTCTCGAGAGATCCAGAATTACTTCCTGAAGAAAATTTAAAGTTTCCATGGCCACTTGCCATTGCCTTGAATATTCAAACCTCTCTACGACAGTGCAACTGGATCTGGCGTCGTCTGGAAAATGGAGAAAGAATTGTTCGTTATAGCAAGTATGTATAAACAGCATAACATTTGCTATTATAATGTAGCATTTGTAAATTCTGAACGCTGATTGGCTAAGAGCCGTGTTGATATAACTCAATGTCAACACGGAAACATCGAAAAATTCTTTTTTTATGTTTCTTTGTGCTATATTATAAAACAAATATAAAACTTTTTTCCGTGCATTGATATATAGTTATATCAACACTCGTGGAAATTGGGAAAACTCGAAATTGTGTGTTAGATTGAAACGCAGCAAAATTTGATGAGACATCACATGTGATATTAGTTTCTTATCCAATCTTTTGTTCGTTATTTATTATTGACTGTTGTAGCTATATTTATGCGAAAGTTTGTAGTTCAACCGTTGTTACAGAACGGTTATATATTGTGTAATAGCATAGTTGCCCGGGTTTCTTTTGTTTCAACAGGTACCATTACTAACTAATCGCCCGCTGTAGTGGGCGATTAGTTCTAATCGCCCGCTAGAGCGGGCGATTAGAACTAATCGCCCGTTACCAAGGGTCACACCTTTGTCTCCCTGACGACTACGCATTAGGCAAGTGCCTCACGCACATAATCGTGCAAGGAACAGCAACAGTTAGCTCAGAGCCGTCAATAGTCTATCATCCGATCCCTGAGTTGCCGCATCATTTAAATTACGGACGTGCAGTCTCCAATTTTATACTAATATATTTAGCGTTTTTGTTGTGGTACGTTAAATGATAGATTGCGCATGCGTAACCGATTAAAGCGTAAAAAGTGCGCATGTGCAACAAGCTTTTACATTCCACAAGCAATGAAGCAAATGTTTTAGCTTAAATACGCTGATTCCAAGTAGGGCATGTTTGTCCATTTTTAAATGGGAGCGCAACTATGCTATTACAAACTAATAGCATGGCTTTTCGGGAGATTAGTGATTAAATGACCCCTCACCCTCGGCAGGTTTGCGGAATTCCCTCGGGCTTCGCCCTCGGGAATTCCGCAAACCTGCCTCGGGTTACGGGGCCATTTAATCACTAATCTCCCTCAAGCCATGCTATTACTTATAATTAAAAATATTTTGACTTTGTTGGTTTTATTTCGACTTTTTGCTATCGACTCTCGACTTTTTGCTGTCGACTCTCGACTTTTACTCTCGACCTATACTCTCGACCCTCGACTGTTAGATACACTCCCGAACATCGAACAACGATCATTGATGAACTTTAGACTTCGCTGATCCTTTCCTTTCCCCGGGGGTAAATAGCCGGGTACCCTCGCCCCGGCTCGGGGATTATGATAAATATAACTGTAAAGCACATTAATATGACTGTAAAGATGGTGATACTGGATACCTGGACAACTAAATTGATCCATTCCTAGAATATAATCAAAGTTCTAGGACTACAGGTAAAAATTAATTTACTTCAAGTAATGATTTATTAGTATGAAAGACCTCAAATCTGGACCAGACGGGAATTCGTGCAAGCCCTTGATGTTTGTTCCTGTCCAGACCTCATTTTCGGATTTGAAAAAATATACATGTACCTTGTGAATCTGGGGAACGTTATAAACACTCTTCCAATTATAGGTCATCTCACTCCGAGATGTCTATTTAAAAGTACAAAAGTCGTTTTTTCTTACTTAGATATACATTTAATTACAACCTCAAGGAAGTAAAATGCAAGCCGAGCGATTGGAACATATGTGCAATCCCCCGTATCATTGAAGATGGTGGTGTATGTGGAAGACAGTCAACTTTAGCTCGAGTTACAAACCATTGTCTTGGGATTGCCTCTGGTGGAATAAAACAACCTGCTCATGCAGCTGGCTACACTTACACAAAGTCTAATGACGGTTACAGATTTAAAATATTTCAAGGAATAACCAACATAATGAACACGTACGCTATGTGGAAATTGACTGATGATGCCATAAAGTCTGGACAGAAAATTAACGCAGAATACCATCACGGACTAACACGTGCCATAAACCATGGGCATGAATCATATCGAAATGGTCGTATCGCATTGTTGATTTTCTCTCGTATTTACGATGCTGAACTACGTCAGAACTCACGTGATCTGCTGGTCGAAGCTTTGGAAGGTAACCCACACATGATGGATATCTGGATGAAGTTGATTCATGACGTCACCGGAAGCAATGATATACCAGTTGAAAGCCAGAATGTGTTCAAACGAATTCCTTCAAAATG